ACCTTTAAAAATATTCTACACCCGATCCAATCCGATTTTTTTTTTTACTAAGATACAACAATTTAAAGTTTAGGTTACACGACCTAAAACTGAAAAAAGGAAGAAAAGAATAATTGGAAAGTACTTTAACTTAAGCATCTGATTCTTAATATTTTGTGATCGTTGATTAGAAAACCGATGTCGGATTTTCAAAATTCAAAATGGCGGATCCAATTTGGCTGCTGTCAAAATAAAAAATTGATCGGATTCGCTTGAAACTTTTTACTTGGGGGTTTTTGAGGTCGCTAATTACGAATCCGATGTCAGATTTTCGAAATTCAAAATGGCGGATGTAATATGGCGACATATTTTTAAAAAATTTAACGGATTCGCTTAAAACTCTTCACTCGGGTGTTTTTGAGGTCCCTTATTAAGAATCTGGTGTCACATTTTCGAAATTTGAAATTATTGTGGATCTAATATGGTATTATATGTTAGTAAAATCGAAAAACTTAAAATTCGAAGTCTTTTGAGTACTTGAAAAAAAGATTTCCACACCTATAGATATCTAAATTGAGAAAAGATGTATTTACAGGTCCAGATATAAGCAAAGGAGTGATTCTATATTATATTCTAAAAACGAAACCAACTATACGAAGATCCTTTGTAGAAAAATGTGTAAAGGTTCATAAAGAAAAATAAAACTTTTAATTTTCTTTACTAAAAGAGTGTATAAATTATGCCCTAAATGTTCGAATTTTACGTTTTTCGATTTTACTAACATATAATACCATATTAGATCCACAATAATTTTAAATTTCAAAAATGTGACACTAGATCCTTAATAAGCGACCTCGAAAACACCCGAGTAAGGAGTTTCAAGCGAATCCGTTAAATTTTTTAAAAATATGTCGCCATATTACATCCGCCATTTTGAAATTCGAAAATCTGACATCGGATTCGTAATTAGCGACCTCAAAAACCCCCGAGTAAAAAGTTTCAAGCGAATTCGATCAATTTTTTATTTTGACAGCCGCCATATTGGATCCGCCATTTTGAATTTTGAAAATCCGACATCGGTTTTCTAATCAACGATCCCAAAATATTAAGAATCAGATGCTTAAGTTAAAGTACTTTCCAATTATTCTTTTCTTCCTTTTTTCAGTTTTTAGGTCGTGTAACCTAAACTTTAAATTGTTGTATCTTAGTAAAAAAAAGTCGGATCGGGTGTAGAATATTTTTAAAGGTGAATAATTGTACTTTTTTTTAAAATTCGTTCCAATGATACAAAAAAATTTTTATAGATTTTATGGAGAGTCGAATGTTGCCAAAAATGGCCTTTTTTACTCTTTTAGGTTAGAATATCTCAGAATCCTGACGTGATAGAGCAATTTCGCTGCCAGTTTTGGATTCAGGGTGACAAATTACATCGGAAATGACTTATCCCGCTTGTGGGTCTGACAAAATTCTAAATTTTGTAGGCATGTGTAATATATTCTCTTTGAAAAGATAATAATTAAAGTTGAAATACAATTTTGTCGGTAGTTAAATATCGTAATTAAAAAGATTAGAACAAGTTAATCTTTATTAACTTGTTTTTTTGGCATTTCGCAATGTAAATACATAAAATATAATAAACGATTTTCTATAACAACAATGATATAGATTTTTTTATGAACTAAGATTAAATGAGAAAAACTCGATTGAAATGTTAAAAGTTGTGAAGTAAGAGAAAACCATAAATTTTTTCAAGTAATTGATTCTTCTGATTGATAATTAATTGTTTTCGTTTGTCCAACAACTGAATTCGTTTGTCCAACAACTGAATTGGTTTGTCCAACCCTCAAATCGGTTTGTCCACCAATTTAAATAAGAAAAACTCGATTGAAATGTTAAAAGTTGTGAAGTAAGAGAAAACCATAATTTTTGTTTCAAGTAGATGATTCTTTTGATTGTTTATTAATTGTTTTCGTTTGTCCAACAACTGAATTCGTTTGTCCAACCCTCAAATCGGTTTGTCCATCAATTTAAATGAGAAAAACTCGATTGGAATGTTAAAAGTTGTGAAGTAAGAGAAAAACCATAATTTTTTTTCAAGTAAATGATTCTACTGATTGTTTATTAATTGTTTTCGTTTGTCCAACAACTGAATTCGTTTGTCCAACCCTCAAATCGGTTTGTCCATCAATTTAAATGAGAAAAACTCGATTGGAATGTTAAAAGTTGTGAAGTAAGAGAAAAACCATAATTTTTTTTCAAGTAAATGATTCTACTGATTGTTTATTAATTGTTTTCGTTTGTCTAACATCTGAATTCGTTTGTCCAACCCTCAAATCGGTTTGTCCATCAATTTAAACGAGAAAAACTCGATTGAAATGTTAAAAGTTGTGAAGTAAAAGAGAAACCATATTTTTTTCAAAAAAAAAATGATTCTTTTGATTGTTTATTAATTGTTTTCGTTTGTCCAACAACTGAATTCGTTTGTCCAACCCTCAAATCGGTTTGTCCACCAATTTAAATGAGAAAAACTCGATTAAAATGTTAAAAGTTTTAAAGTAAGACAAAACCATAATTTTTTTCAAGTAAATGATTCTTCTGATTGATAATTAATTGTTTTCGTTTGTCCAACAACTGAATTCGTTTGTCCAACCCTGAAATCGGTTGGTCCACCAATTTAAATGAGAAAAACTCGATTGAAATGTTAAAAGTTGTGAAGTAAGAGAAAACCATAAATTTTTTCAAGTAAATGATTCTTCTGATTGATAATTAATTGTTTTCGTTTGTCCAACAACTGAATTCGTTTGTCCAACCCTGAAATCGGTTGGTCCACCAATTTAAATGAGAAAAACTCGATTGAAATGTTAAAAGTTGTGAAGTAAGAGAAAACCATAAATTTTTTCAAGTAAATGATTCTTCTGATTGATAATTAATTGTTTTCGTTTGTCCAACAACTGAATTCGTTTGTCCAACCCTCAAATCGGTTTGTCCATCAATTTAAATGAGAAAAACTCGATTGAAATGTTAAAAGTTGTGAAGTAAGAGATAACCATAAATATTTCAAGTAAATGATTCTTCTGATTGATAACACAGGTTTACAAAAAAAATTCGTTGAAAGGTTCCTTCGACCAAGATTACGAATTTAAAGTCAGATTTTCGAAATAAAATTGAAGGATTTAATATTGCGGTCGAATTTATAAAAATTTCTTGAATTTTTACAAAACTTAGTATCTGTGAGTTTTGGACTCTGACAGATCACGGAACAACTCCGTTGCCTGCCGTCACAACGTTGAGTGGCCGTGGATACAGGCCCACAAAAGATTTCATGGTCAGTGACCTTAAAAACACCTATATACCAAGTTCTGTAAGGATTCAAGAAATATTTTTGTAAATCCAACCGCCATATTAGATCCTTTATTTTTATTTCAAAAATCTGACTTTAAATTCGTAATTAGCGACCCCAAAAACCCCTCGATACCAAGTTTCGTAAAAATTCAAGAATTTTTTCAAAATCCGATCGCCATATTGGATCCGCCATTTTGTATTTTAAAAGTCTGCCTTGTAATTTGTATTCAGTAACTTCAATAAACCCTCGATATAAAGATTGAGGTAAGTCCGTCAATATTTATAGAATTTTATCTGTCACGTAAAATCTGATATATATTTTGAGGTTAGGAAAAATCCTGACGTGATGGAGCAAAACGGACTTCAGATTCGTTTTCAGCGACCCCAAAAACATATAATACACCAGGTTTGGTCGAAGGAACCTTTCAACGAATTTTTTTTTGTGGACCTGTGTAATTAATTGTTTTCGTTTGTCCAACAACTGAATTCGTTTGTCCAACCCTTAAATCGGTTTGTCCACCAATTTAAATGAGAAAATCTCGATTGAAATGTTAAAAGTTGTGAAGTAAGAGAAAACCATATTTTTTTTTCAAGTAAATGGTTCTATTGATTGTTTATTAATTGTTTTTGTTTGTCCAACAACTGAATTCATTTGTCGAACCCTTAAATCGGTTTGTTTACTAATGTAAACGTTTTTTGTCATTTTTTTCATTTAAAAAAAAAATTTTTTTTTAATTAAAAAAAAAATTAAAAGTTGGACAAAAAAATTTTTTTGTTGGACAAACCTGGACTAATCATGGACAATCGAAAGTAATATAGAAAACTTAAAAATATTAAACTGGAGGAGCCAACTTCACACACCTAGGCTAGAGTTAGTCCATTACTGCCTTCTAAAAGATACAGCGAGAAATAAAAGGCAAAAAAAAAAAATTCCGTACCCGTATGCAAAAAAAATTTTAAATTAGAAGAATTTAACCTTTATTTTTAATTCTTAAATTCAGACTTCAAATTCGTTATCAGCGACCCCGAAAACCTCCAAGTTACCATTTTGAATAGAATTTACTGACTTTTCGATTTATTCATATTTTGGTTTTTTTCCTATTCTATCCGTCAGATTAAATTTCCTGGTTGCCGAAACTTCATTTTGACCTCAAAAACAATAAAACTCAAAAAAACATAACCCTTGGACGGAAATTATCTGATCTTTAAATATTTTTCGATATTTTTAATATTTCGTAGAAATGAAGATACAAATTTTGGACATTTGGGCGTTAATTGGTTAAGGAAGAATCTCATTTTTTCCTTAAAATAGGTGAAAAGGTCGATGATTTATTAAAAAATACAAAAAAAGTATGTAAAATAAAGTATTACTGTTTAAATCTGAATTAGAGACTCTATTCTGATGATTTCAACCAATGAAATTTCACTGAAAATCAGTATTTAGCCAATTAAAAAATTAATGGAAATTTCAGTCACGCAAATTAAAAATTTCAGTTTTTTTTAATTAGTCATTCAGTGAAAAATATTTAATATTTTTATCAATTTTAACTAATTTCCATTGAATTTTCACTGATTGAAATCGTAAAAACACTAATGTGTTTATAAATTTTATGATGAGAGATTTAGGATAAAAGTAAAATTTGTTGACCATTTATGTAATAAAAGTGATAATAACATACCTGTAATGGTGACATCGGTGTCTTGATTAACAATGACGACTTTTTTGGATGGTTTGATAACATCATCAGCTTCTAAGCCCTGTCGTTTCTTATCCAAATCGACATCGCAATGTCTTCTTCGCTTGATGATTTCCACCTCAGACTCACTTGACGAATCGCTATCGGAGCCAAGACGAATTTTCTCGTCGGAATAGGAAGCAGCCAACATTGCCGAGGCATTAAGACTCGCCATTCTCTTGCAAACCACCATATCCTTCAAGTCCATCACCTCCTCATTCTTCTTTCTCCTTTTCGTAATGGTCTTCTTAACCTTTTCACTTTTCACACTCTTACAATCCTCCTCTGACGATGAGGAAGAGGACATACCCTCCGACATGTCCCAATGCTTACCCCGTAAACCAGGAACATTTCTCAATTTTCTCTTTGGAGCACTGTCGTCATTCTTGTTCTTTTTATTATCCTTTTCCTTTTTCACAATTTGCTCCTTTTCTTTTTCCTTCTCCTTCTCCTTTCCTTTTTCCTTCTCTTTCTCTTTGTCTTTCTCGTCCTTGGCCTTTTTCTGCTTTTCTTTTTCGGGTTTCGGCTTACAGAATCCGCCTAGGTAAACACCACCTGCTTCATTTTCATATAAACAGTGAACTTTGGCGAGGGCATTTAGTGAAGCGACTCTGTGCCTTTTTGGCCCACTCCAAAAGCCAAAAAGTCGCATTCTTCTTGCACGTTCGTCGGACGGTGTTCTGGTTCTGTCCTTTCGCTTGCCGCTCCTTGCTTTACCGTTCTGCCAACTTTCATCACCACTACTACTCTCATAGGCACTCGAACTTTCCGTGCTTTCACCATTAAGAGTCTCAACTTTTAAATTCACTAAATTATCAGCTTGATCTTTGAAATTTGTCAACTTGGAAGAATCGGCTTTCGTTTCCTCGCCCGCTGAATCTTCCTTGTTTGAGTCATCATTCTTTGATGATTTAGTGGCTTTTTTGTTATTCTTCTTCGGCGGGCATTTCCCTTTCGTGGACTTTGTAATTTTCTTTGATTCTTCTTTAATTTTCTCCTCTTTAGTTTCCCTACAATCCTTCTCATCCAACACTTCCTTTTTGATGTCACTTTCGAGGACAAATTCTTTGAGATCCAAAATCTTTTCAGAATCCTTACATGGCTCGTTCTGTTTCTTTTTTTTCTCTAGATTTTTCGCCTTTTCTTCCTTCTCCTTTTTAAGGATCAATTTCTTAGGTGGTAATTTGACCTTAGCCTGTTTTTCTAGTGAAGCTTTTTTCTCTGGGCTAATTTTACTTTTCGGTACAACTATTTTCTTTTTTTTCTTTAATTCCTCATTTGTTTCCGTTACCGATTCGTTGCTTTCTAAACACTTGACTAGCTTTATCTTCTTTTCGAGAAACTTCTTCGCCACTGAGGGATTTGACTTTTTTGCTAATACTGTCTTCTTGGGATTATTCTTCTTTGCTTGCTTCACTTTTGGATCCTTCTTACGAGCAGATGATGATGCTGATAATTTTGTCATTAAATTACCGTCTGTCTTTTTACGCTCAATTTTCTTGGTTCCTTTGGAATTATCAATTTTTGGTACTTTTGGCTCTTTCTTTTTATCATTTTTCTTTTTTAATGTTAATGGAAAAGATGGTATTTTATTGTCAATTGTGATATTTTTCTCGTCATTATCAATTTTCTTTTCCTGGATTTGTTCGTCTATTTTTAATTTTGTCCTTTCTTCGATTGTTTTATCGAATTTATTAAGTTTCGTCTTAAATTCAAAAAATGTTTTTTCAACGTTAATTTTTCCCTCTGACTTTTGACATTTTTTCTTATCACTATTCTCCAATATCTCGTCGTCATTTTTATCATCTGTCTTCTTCTCGATTATCTTATCTGTCTTTTTTTCTGATGGATCCTTAACTTGTTTTTTCTTCTCATCAGACTTGTCGAGTTTATCTTTTCGTTTTTCCTCATTTTTCTTTCTTTCGTCTGATGGCGATTTTTTCTCTACTTCAAATTTCTTTTTGTCTGTTTCGAATTTTTTGGATTTCTTCTCTTTTTTTGCGTCCATCGCTGATTTTTCAATGAGTGTACGACGCTTTTTGACAACCACTGATGGTTTGGTTGCCTTCTTAGCAATAAAAGCCTTTTTTTGCGGCTTCATTCCGCAATTTCTTTCTTCACATCTTCGAAACGAGTGCAAAAAGCCCTGAGATAACCGGTCTTCGGAATTTCAATTCAGGACTATCTGACTGCCATTGTTTATAATAACATAACCGTCAGTCACCGAGGATGTAACCTAAACAATAAGTACGAGTAAACAGGTTAATTTAAATAAAGAAAAAATTTAAATTGTTTAAACAAAAATCTCTTTTTTTCGTCTTATTCATTCAAACTACAGTAATTTCAAGTGCTTTGGCGCAAATTTATTTTTTATACAAAAATAATGCCGTTACTTCAGTGATAAGGAAAATCGTATTAAAATACATTATCTGTAAAATAGATTATAAATGCTATTGTTTTATTTATTTTTCAATAATTGTATACTTATGCATATTTAATTACGTGTTAAATTATTTATGAGAAAAAATTGTCAAAAAGCGAATGTGGAAAATTTGAAAAGAATGTAAATTTAAAAGCTGACTTTTATCTGCGAAATAACAACACATATTTGAAATTTTAATGTCTTCAATAAATTCGTTATTCTGATTATTGAATTCAAACACCATCCGTGGAATATATGATAGAACTTTTGATGGTAATTAAAATTGTATTTCATGTTTTAATTAAGCAAATTAGATTTCATTGCTCCCCGCTACTGACACTATTTACTGCTATGAACTTGTATTTAAATGCAACAAAAGTTATAATAAGTTTTGTTCAAAAACTAACAAGAATATTAATTTAATTTTACAATTTACTTTTTTGTAATTATAAAAATATCTTAAAATATAATTAAATTTTACTTAAACATATTTCATCAATTTTCACTTGCTTGTATAATAAAAATATATTCTTGAAAATACTAATTGAAACTAATTATAGAATATTTAAATATGAAGTTTATTCTTCAAATGCAGTAAACGTAATATTCTCAATAAGATTAATGAAGTTAAAAAGAATTGGGAAATTTTTAGCATAATATAGAAAAGATGGATTAAGGTAAATGTACATAATTACGGCATGTTAAGGCCCTTGCTGAGAATTTTATTTCTGTTATTTTAGCAAATAACTTAAAGTGCAAGAAAACAATTGCATCATAAAAGTTAATTAATCATTCTCAGTTTTTCATTTATTGTATCTGTTTGAAAACTAAATTTATATTAATTTTTAATAATTTTTTAAAACACTCAATTGAACGTTCTTATATATAAAATGTCAATCTTTTTGACAATAATTATTATTAATAAAATTAATAACATAATATACTTCGCGGTTATTAAATAATACATGAAAATTTAGTTCTTTAAAAACATTTTGAGCATTGTAGATAAGGATGTCGTCTCTATCAATCTGCTATAGCAAATAAGGTTATAGCACGGAATTATGAACGCATATATAAAATGTTTTGAACCTAATTCCGTTCGTAAAATTCGAGTTATAAAACAGATTTTAACTAACAAATGGTTAGTAAAACACTACCACGCAATTACCTCATTTGTTTGTTTATAATTTCATTTTTTATTGTAAAAATGTAAGCATATTAAATATTCTTATTAGATTCATTAAAATAAGTTTAATATAAAACAATGTAATTGCCTATTTACGTGTGTCACGCGGAATAATGTACTTCGTGTGAGAAGAGCGAACGTTATTCCGTGTATTTAAAAAAGTGATTTTTATGTAAAGAAAACTTTTAAAAATAACTCAGCAATAGGAAATATAATTTAAATAGGTCTTAATTTATCAAAAAATGAAAACATAAATTAAAAAATATCCACACTTCACTTTTCTTATCCTTACGAAGATCACCCCCAGTCGTAGCTGTCACTCGAAGCATACCGCATTGCACGACGCTCAGTCGTCGATTGACTATTTTATTTTGAGTACATAAACTAAACAGATGCAATTAAAACACAGAATATTGATTTAATAAATAACAAAGTTTGTGCTAAAATTTTTCACTTGTTGAAATACTTTGTCAATTTCTTATTCTACTTAATTTAAGGAAACAGCACGTGATAGCACGGAATTATGTACATTTACCTTAATCAAATTTTTTAATTCTATTAAATTCACTTTCGGGTTTAAAAATAAGAAATTTCGCATAAAATTAATTTTAATTTGTTCCATTTTTAATTTTGAAAAAATCTCGGATAAAATACATTATTTCTTAATGATAAAACTCCAAGGCGGCTGCCTTCAGGAACACTGCAAAAATAGGTGTTTTTTATATCTTAAAATAAGATGTAAGATGGAAAAATGGCATCTTACATCTTAAAATAAGATGTATTAAAGTATCTTATTGATTTCTAAGATGTTTTATATACGTTTTAGCAGTGATCCAAATTTTTCTTTCATCTTATAAAAGTAAGTTACTTCGGCAAGTTTTTTAAAGTATCTTAAATTAAGATGTTTCTGGCGCAACCCTAGTAAAAATTTGTCATAGTATCTTTAAGGGCACTGGACAGTTCCACTGGAAAATTTCAAGGCACTTTACAGTTAAACTGGCTAACAACTATAAAGTGATGTCACGCTAATTTCTTCAAGTTATTGTCCAGTCAAATTTTGCAGTTTCTTATCATCAGTCCTGTAGAAAAACTATACAAAATAATTCACTTGGAAATGTCAAAACTTTCTTTATATTGACGTTTCGTATTAAACACGTACAAATTTGAAAATATAACGTTAAATTTTTTTGTCAACAAATTAAATAAATTAAAATTTTACGAAACTATATTTTTACTGTTGGTGTATCTGTTGATCCGTATAATAAATGATTTATAATAAATTATCTGTAAAATTAGTTTTAAATAACTACATAATTAAAAAAAAATTATAAACATTACTGATTCTTGTACACATGTCATTTTTTTACATTAAACAACATTCACTTTTTCCTTGAATTAAGCACAACTCTGAAATAAATATTATTATTTTATCACACTACAAACTTATAAGTAAACCCTAATATGAAGAACTAATTCAATTCAAACGAAAAATATCTAGCGGTAACGGGGAGCGAACTCGGGTCACACTGGGACGAAATACCTAAACGCACGCTTACGCATCACGGCCGTTCTAGTCGATGGACGATTCCGGAAAAATAAGAACCATACTCTACCGGTAGGTAAAGCAGTTCCCTTTTTCATCTTTTCTAGCTCAACTGGCGAATTACTATGGATAGCTACTGCATAACACTCTAAAGTTGAACTTATTGATTATTACTGTATAGAAGTTCTGTCTGTCCAGTTATTTTCATGGTACTGTCTAGGCGTTCCGTGAAATTATGTTTCAAAGTTTGTCGTGGCGTTAGCGCTACCGTCAGTCCAGCAACTGAACAGTGTTATGTAGACATTTTCCATAAGTACATCAGTGTATACACTGAAAGAAATAATTCGCGGGTATAACTAGAATTATGTCTATTTTTTCCGTAAGGAATTAGTAATAAATTGTTATACTGGCTACTGTCATTAATATAGACAGTTCTGTTATACAGATCGGAGAGCTATACATATGTCAACGTCAATACATCAATGTAAAACATAACCTCACTTTATTGGACCAATTCTAACTTTTTGTATGTAACAGGTTTGTTAAATTAATATTTATACATATAATAAGAGTATATAATCTTGAGAAGAAATTGTCTTCTGAATTTAAAAAATTAGTTATTTTAATTAACTCAATTAATTAAAGCGAATTTTAAAAAAGTTTTTTTTTCTAAAGGAATTTTCATTAAAAATAAATTTTGATTTAAAAGAAATTTTTATTATTAAATTAAAATTTTAATATTAAATAATTTTAAAATTTTGTTATTCAGGTGTCAACAGTAAAATAAAAGAACAAAATTAAAAATATAAAAACTGTAAGACCAAAAGATTTATTTTATAGAAAATATTTCGAAAATGTCAATACACAACTGTTTAGTTACTGAAACTGGCGGTAGCGCTAACGCCACGACAAACTTTGGAACATAATTTCTCGGAACGCCTCGATAGTGCCATGAAAATAACTGTACAGGACTTCTATGCAGTAATAATCAAGTTCAACTTTATATTTTCTTTAACAGTCTTATGCAGTAGCTGTCTAGTAATTCGCTAGTTAAGCTAGATTAAACTTCCATGACTAAAACTGTACTTGAATAAATATAGTCATGCCACGACAATTTTCTACTAGGGAATAAGATGTTAAGCAATAAGTTACTTGTGAATCGTAAGATGCGACAAAAATGTAAGTTACTAAAAATTAAGGCACATAAAGTGTTTTACATATGGTGGATATCACGTCAAAAGTCCACCCAAAAAAAAATGTTGTCCAATTATTCCCAAATTTTTTTTATGATATGCCCTATAGGTTAGTAATTTGACGGATAAATTTTTTTGAATTTTATAAAAAATTGTCCGAGGGGGAGGGGCTAGAAGTTCTGAACTTTAGCGTAACACGCTCCACTTTGATTATTTCTTATAATTAGAGGAAAATTTAAAAAAAAAATTAGGATATGGGTTTTTTAGATTTTTTCATGGGCTTTCGAATGGCACAGTCTATTTTCAAAAATTTTTTTATTTTGACACAAATTTTGAAAAAATAAAAATAAATTTTCACTTTACGCATCTTTGGGTCCCATTTTTTTTATTTTTTGATGTTGAAAAATTTTCTCCAATTTTTAAATACTTCAAAATACTGATTTCGTTACATTTTCAAAACTGGTATTTTATTTTTTCTTTTTGTTGGCTTTTTTACTTTAGCTGTTCTCGACTTTGTCTCTGTACTTTTTGTTTTAGTGCCCTTATTTTTCTAATCTTTTGACTCGACAGGATATTCCTACAAATGACGAAAAATTGTTCCTTAATATAACTTCGTTGGCTTTAAATTATGTGGAGTTTCCAGCATCAAAAGATTCAAAAAGTATAGGCACTAAAACAAAAAATGCAGAGACAAAGTTGAGAACAGCTAAATTAAAAAAAAGCCAACAAAAAAATAAAATACATGCATTAAATTAAAAATAAAATTGCAAAAAAATTTTGTTAAAAATTTTAAAAAATTAAATATTTTTTTTCATTTAAAAAAATAAAAAAAAAACTATAATGCAGGCATTATATTGTTCTTATGTCAGTTTCAACCCTGTAAAATGCAGAA